CTCTATTTCCAGGCAACAAACACCATTTGCAACCAAACTCATCATAAGCAAGCACCATCACCTCCACCGCAAGGCCAAACCAACAGATCTCAAAATTCATTGCACCATTACCACCAGCAATCAAAAACCCATCTAGCCCCAATTTCACGAACACACCAGCCTCTTTCTCTAACCATTCTAGCCATGCACAACCATGAGCATCCATTGCCCAACCACCCAAGCCACATCACCCATGGAACAGCATGATCAAACCACCATCAGTCACCTCCAAACCCACATCGTGCCACAGAACCATTGTCCTTATCCATCATCACTGTGCTACCCAGCCATGACACCACCATCACAAGCCAGCCCCAGCATCAAGGAGGTGAATGGGGTTAACAATGGTGTATCAACCAACAACACATTTAATGCCATCCATTCAGCTGGGTGGAATGCAATTTTTGGGTATGAATGGGGTTACGTTTCAATTAACCATACCCCAAGAAGGCTGGTTTGCCATAAATAAATAATAGCACAACTCATTAACCCACTATCTTGTTTAAAGGTTCTGACTCGGCCAAAGGGTCCATCTGTAACTTCCATAAATTATCAAATATGGTTTTAGAAGCTTTTGTTAGTGAGGGGATAATTGTCACATTAAAGTTCATTATATTCATAAAAAAATGGCAGATAGCCAAAAAGAAAAAAGCGGGTGTATAAAATGCAAAGCAGGAAGGAATGAAGGTCATATGGCCCACGTTTTTTATGATTACTGTAGCAACTCAAGTTTTAGAAAAAAATTAGAACCGGCAGTGCATTCAGGTAAAAAATGACAGACAAGTTGGTGACGCAGCAACTGTAGAACAGATATGAATATACAAAATGTAGCAAAGTTAAGATTGCAAAACTCACACTTACTGAGCTGGTTATGTATCTACACAACAACTGTTATGTCATCAAGCTTCCCACCATAATAACGGAACCCAGCCTCTTGGAGCAGTAGAAAATGGTGTCTGCCTATTCCTGTCCTGTGCTCGCTGACGAGCCAGTGCTGCTATCTTCTGAGCAGTTACTTGGGGTTCTAGTCCAGCTCTAACTGCATGTAAAACAATTGCAGTGACTTCATTATTGTACAGATTATCAAACAATCCATCTGTTCCAGCAATGACAACATCTCCGGGCAACAGGTATCGTAAAAACCTGGATATGTTATTGCGACAACTGTTAGTTTGTTTAATTTTCCTCAAATATATAAACTTATTTGGAAAGAAAGAAACTTCATCTGCTATGTGGCTTCCTAGGGAATAATAATAGGATCATGACTGTGGCGAGACTAAAAATGATAATAATAATAATAGTCCATCAGACAATTTCATTGTATTAGATACGTATACATTAAAGTAGAATAGAATAATTGGAGCTGTAAAAATTTTGATCTGCAAATCATCTTACACGTGCTTAATATATGAAAATAAGGATATGTTGAAAATGAGATGCACCTTACTTTCAATTTTCACCCCCTCTACTGCGTATGAATGAGTAAAAAAAAACCTCTCCATTATCACAAAATAGGATGAAAAAGAAATTTCAAATGCCAATCTATTTTCTCTGTTGCTGCATATATTAATCATGAGAAGTTGAAGGAAAGGGCTGTGAACTGTGTGTTTCACCATGCCTGTACTATTATACTGTCAGAAACAGGTAATGCTGGACTGTCTGAATAAGTATTCCTTGGTATGGATGCTATCAGAAACAGGTAAAAATGTACTGTCAACAAATTTGTGCCTTAATTTTGAGATTCCCATATTGTTAATGTAATATTTTCCTCCTTACACCTACAGAAAGTAAAAGCAAAGAGCACTAGAAGTAAGTCTTATGTGAAATGACATGTGAGAACTTACCTCACCAGAGCGGGGTAAATCACCTCCATTGCCACTCTCCAGTTGATACGTAAAATTGAAGTCATGCTGTTGAACAGGGGACCTGAAAATGGTGCATCCATCTCTAACCACAATGAACCCACTGTCACCCAAATTAATAGCTTGTAGTCCCTGGACCAAGAGACCAAACACATGGAATGCAAATTAATGTGAATTTACTTTTCCTTTTATACTCAAGAAAGAAAACTACCCAAATTTACCAGCAGAACTAATTTTACTAGCTGCAGGTCAAAACACCAATCAAACATCAAGTTTAAGAACTTAGGAGCAGGTGACATAAGAATTAGTTATGTGGGTGCAAGTTCTCGTGCCCTCATGGGTCCATGGGCACAGTAGAGAAAAATATCATCAACACAGAGAGAAAATATGCTGGCAAAAGGATGCCGAAGGAGTTTTGGGCAGCTGTGCAGTGTGTTGTGTATGTGCAGAACCGATGTCCACATTCAAGCTTGGATGACAAAACACCACAGGAAGCATGGAGCGGTCAAAAGCCTTCAGTGGCTCATCTCAGAGTTTTTGGTAGTGTGGCCTATGCACACATACCGGACCAGCTCAGAACCAAGCTCGAGGATAAAAGCAAGAAATATGTTTTTATTGGATATGATGAAAAAACAAAGGGGTACAAGCTGTTTGACCCCGTCAACAAGAAAGTCATAGTGAGCAGAGATGTAAAGCTCAATGAAGCAAATGAGTGGGACTGGAGCAATTCATCTGAGATAAACTTTGAAGACAGAATCACAACGCAAATTATCAACCCGGCAAGTCCTGAAGCTTCTGATGATGAAGACGAGGTACGACAACCCAGGATGCGGAGCATACAAGACATATATGAGTCAACAAGTGAGGTACATTTTGTTTGTCTTCTTGCAGATTCTGAAAATATAAGCTTTGAAGAAGCCATCCGAGATAAGAAATGGCAAGACGCCATGGATGAGGAGATAGAAGCCATTGACCGAAATAACACATGGGAGTCAGCTGAGCTACCAAAAGGAAGTCGGCCCATTGGAGTGAAGTGGGTGTTCAAGAAGAAGATGAATGCTCAAGGGGAGATAGAACGATATAAAGCTCGGCTAGTTGCAAAAGGTTATAAGCAGAAGGCTGGAATTGACTATGACGAGGTGTTTGCCCCTGTTACAAGGATGGAGACAATTCGGCTACTCATCTCACAGGCTGCTCAATACAGATGGCCAATACATCAAATGGATGTAAAGTCGGCATTCCTGAATGGTGTTCTTGAAGAAGAAGTTTACGTGGAACAACCGCCAGGCTACATGAAGGCAGGAGAAGAGAAGAAGGTGCTGAGATTGAAGAAAGCACTTTACGGGTTGAAGCAAGCACCACGAGCATGGAATGCTCGGATTGACAAATATTTCAAGGAGAATGGACTTGAACAGTGTCCATATGAACATGTTGTTTATGTCAAGAAAAATGGAGGAGACTTGTTAATTGTGGCTCTTTATGTTGACGACCTCATTTTTATGGGAAACAATGCCAAGATGATACAAGAGTTCAAGAGCACAATGACAAGAGAGTTCGAAATGACAGATCTCGGTTTTATGAAGTTCTTTCTCGGTTTGGAAGTAAAACAAAATGAGAAGGGAATTTTCGTGTCACAGGAGGCTTATGCAAAAAAGATTTTGAAAAAGTACAAGATGGAAGATTGCAACCCGGTTTCAACACCAATGGAACCCGGTTCAAAACTTTCTAAGTTTGATGGAGGAGACCGTGTTGATGCAAGCAAGTACAGAAGTTTGGTGGGAAGCCTACGCTATCTCACATGCACGAGGCCGGATATCTCGTTGAGTGTCGGCATAGTAAGTCGGTTCATGGAGGAGCCAAGATACACACATTGGAAGGCGGTAAAGAGAATTCTGAGGTATGTTCAAGGTACAGTTTCACACGGGTTACACTACTCGAGCTCGGCAAAATACAAGTTGATTGGATATTCTGACAGTGATTGGTGTGGAGACGTAGATGATCGAAAGAGCACGGCTGGTTATGTGTTTTTCATGGGCAACACGACATTCACTTGGATTTCGAAGAAGCAACCTATTGTGACACTGTCGACATGTGAAGCTGAATATGTAGCTGCATCTTGGTGTGTTTGTCATGCAATGTGGCTCAGGAATTTGCTAAGCAAGCTGGAGGAAAAACAAGTCGGCCAAACTGTGATCCGAATTGACAATAAGTCGGCTATAGAGCTAGCCAAGAACCCGGTAAATCATGAAAGAAGCAAGCATATTGACGTCTGATTTCACTTCATCCGGGATCAAGTAAAGGAAGGAAATGTGGAGTTAACACATGTGACCAGTCAAGAGCAAGTCGCGGATATCTTCACGAAACCGCTACCGACGGTACTCCTTGACAACTACAAGAAATTGATCGGCATGAAGGATGGCAGAAGCATTTAAGTTTACGGGGGAGTTTTGTTGAATAAACGTTAAATGTGGAGTTATGTGTCAGTTGAATTTTTAATGGGTTTAATTCAGCAATCAATTTAGTTTTTAATGGGTTTAATTCAGCAAACGTTAAATGTCAGTTTTATGTTTTTAAGTTTATGAAATTATGTGAGTTTATTGTGATGTTAAGTGTCTTTATTGTAGAGTTACAAGTTTTGTAATTTAAATCTATTGTTTGAATGAAAAAGTTACGACTTCTGCCTTAGTAAAAATCCTTTGTTTTACTCTTCTCCTAACAACACACAGATTATTTTACGTTAAAGTCAATACAAAATATAAATAAAAGTTGCATATATACCTTTTTCTTGCACAAAAAGTTTAGGGAATGAGATATTATTTATATCTAGGTCAAAATAATCTTTTTTAGTAAGTTTCATTTGTAATAATTAAATCATTATTAAGTTTGGTAATTTGTCTCGACCTATATATGAACAATATCACCTTTCCCTAAACTTTTTGTGGAAGAAAAAGGTATATATGTAAATTTTATTATTTATTTTGTATTAACTTTAATGTAAAACAATTTGTTTATTTATATATATATGGGGCAGGATCATCTTACACCGGTGTAAGAATAATAAATCTTACACCAAATCTTAACCATTGATTTTTTAAATGTAACGGGTAAGATTTATTAGGTCTCACTCATTAATTAATTTTTAATTCCCAATAAATCTCAACCATTGGATGCACGGAAATCAACGGTTAAGATTTGGTGTAAGATTTATTATTCTTACACCGGTGTAAGTTGATCCTATCCCTATATATATATATATATATATAAACTTTAATGTTTCTACAGTTAATATAGATAAGTTATCAACATTCACTTCCAAAACGGTATCATTTTCGGTTGAAAAATTAAAAAATTATAATGAGAAACACTATTATAACCCTGAAATATATTATAATTACAAAAATACCTTGATTTCCGTACCAAAACGACGTCATTTTACGCTCAATGTAGATAACTTATCTATATTGACTGCAGAAAAAATGAACCTATATATATATATATATATACATATATATATATAATCGATTATAATTTATTGGGTCGCATTTATTAATTGATTTATAATTCTCAATAAATTATAAAATTCGATTAGCAAAAATCAAAAGTTAGGATTTGGTGTCAAACTTTTTAGTTTAGATATATGGCAAAATGTTTTGTCATCTGACCGGATCTAACGTTTAGTGTGGTCAAAAAATTATAATTATGTACTACTGGTAGTACATAATTATAATATTAAAGTTGTAAAAAAAAAGTTGTATTTTTTTTCTTTCTTCAAAAATTTAATTATGTACTATGGGTAGTACATAATTGCAATTCAAAGCTTTTTTTTCTCTCCTCAATTACTTTTCAGATAGTTGTCAGTGACGTAGAAAAGAAAATTGACGGAAATCAACTGTTAATATTTTATTTAGTAGTAAGAGGTAGTACGAAAAAAAAGTAGTAAGTATAGCATCTCCCTTATAACTATGTACTACCCGTAGTACATAGTTATACTTTTTTGATCACACCAAACTTTAGATCCGGTCATTGTATATCCGCTAATTAATTATTGATTTCCAATAAATGATAACCGTTGATTGACAGAAATCAATAGTTAGGATTTAATGTCAAATTTTAAAGTTTAACTCTGGTGTTATATATATATATATATATATATATATATATATATATATATACATATATATATATAGAAAAAATTATTTCTACAGTCACTTTAGATAAGGTTATCTACAGCTACCCCAAAAACTACGTCGTTTTAATTAATGAATGGTGTTTCTGTAAATTTAGGTGAATTAATGAAGGGTGTTTCAGTAAAATGCAAATGATAAAAAAATGAACAAAATTATGGAAACACCGTTCATTAATTCACCTAAAATTACAGAAACACCCTTCATTAATCAAAACAACGTAGTTTTTGGGTAGCTGTAGATAACCTTATCTAAAGTGGCAGTTGAAATGTTTATCCCATATATATATATGGGGAAAACATTTCTACAATCATTGTAGATAAGCTTACCTCCGGCTAAGTAAAACTACGTTGTTTTGGTCTAAAATTTAAAAAAAATACTTTGTTTTCTAAGATTCAACGTCTTCAAGGATAGAACAGCAACTATCGGATTCCCAAACTCGTGGAGCAAAGACCTTCTTCTCTTTTGTTACCTGTGTTCTTTCCGTCTTGAGAGCGTTTGTAAGAACACACACCGTTAATTTATGAAATTAATTAAATAAATATGACAATTAGGAAATAATTCCATAATCGACCCTTATAATTATGAGAACGAATAAATAATTATGGTAATTGATTATTAATGTTGAAAGTCACTTTTCTGACGAAAAGTGCAGATATCGGTTCTGCTCCACGGTATAAGTGCGTACCGATGAAGTACCCCAGAAAATTATGAAAAGTATGTATTTGTCACTAGAAAAATATATAGGACTGGCATAACAAGTTTAGGTCAAAATAATGAGAACTGGTGCCAGAACTGATACTGGCTATGTAAAAGCGCGTACCGAAAAGGTTCTGCAAAAAATAAAATAAAAATAGGACAATACTTAGAAAAATCAGTAGGTTCAGAATTCTAAGTTTGGGATTAAAATGCTAAGCGTAGCTATTAGCGCTAATATAGTGTGATTAAACGTAATCTGCCTATAAATACTAAGAGGCATAGACTTCTAGGTCATTTCCTCATATGCTACGTGCCTCCATTTTTCTGAAACACCACCAGCCACCTTGCCACCCCTTCTTATCCACTTGGTGAGCCAAAGTGAGCACCTTTGCTCTTAGTTCCTTCACCAAAACACC